GCTGTAAGCTGTAATGCCACGGCACTCTACCCAGGGGGACAGCTTGAGGCTCTGTCTCAAACAAAAAAAAAATAAGATTTTCTCCTTTATATTCGTGTTCTTATTTCTTTGCTTTTGGGGCAGGGATCATTTGGTTATAGAGTTGGCTTATAGCTTGAGTTTCTAATGACTTGATATTTTTTCTCTTAATGGTTGTTATCTAAAATAATGACACTCGACTAGGTCTTCAATAGTCTAAATTCCTTAGTGCTGAGAAAGGAGTTGTATAGAAGCTATTATTTTTTAAAATAATTGTGGTCTTTCCTACTCAACTTCAAGAGCTCCAGTTGTGCCAAAATGTTTGTTTTAAGAGGAATTGATCTATAAAGCTAACGCTTTTTTGAAGCAGTTTTCAGGGGAAGACTAAAGGCCAAGCACCTTTTGTTCCTATATTTAACTTCTTTCATTTGTTAATTAAGCAAGAAAATACTCTAAAAGGGGGCAGATAATGTATAGATTACTAGACAAATCATCTCCAAGTTCTTTGCTATTGTTAATGAAATGTGGTTTGGGGTTTTTGTTTTTAATTTCTTTTTTTTTTTTTTTTTGAGACAGAGCCTCAAGCTGTCGCCCTTGAGTAGAATGCTGTAGCATCACAGCTCACAGCAACCTCCAACTCCTGGCCTCAAGCAATTCTTCTGTCTCTGCCTCCCAAGTAGCTGGGACCACAGGCACCCGCCACAATGCCCGGTTATTTTTTTGGCTACAGCCATCATTGTTGTTTGGCGGGCCCGGGCTGGATTCAAACCTGCCAGCTCAGGTGTATGTGGCTGGCGCTTTAGCCACATGAGCCACAGGGGCCTAGCCTTGTTTCTGATTTTTAAGTTTCTTTTTTCTCTGAAGTTCTGCAGTCTCTACATATGAGATGAAGTCTTTCACACAAAAAGAAGTGTTATATGCATTGGGAATCTCTCAATTCCAAGTGACAAAAACTCAATGGCAACTATGACAGCACAATCAAAACAATATTTTTCCCTCATATAATGGGGAATGACAGATTGATGTGGTCTTAGGGAACAACCAAATTCAGGCATTCAGTTTAGGTTAAAATAGTCCTGGTGTTTTCTTGTCTTTTTCTGTACCGTGTTTCCCCAAAAATAAGACACTGTCTTATATTTATTTTTTCTCAAAAAGACACACTAGGGCTTATTTTCAGGGGATGTCTTATTTTTATGAAGTATAATACAACAATCTATATTTATTCAAATACAGTTATCTTCTTCTGGAACCTGACAGGGGGAGCCGACCTTGTTAGTGGGGCTGGCTCTAGTGATGCAGGAACTCCTTTCCCCTAGCTGGTTGCATGTGTACAGCAGGATGCCTGTGACCGTGGTTACCACACACGCATCCAAGCAAGTGCAAACAGCTCAGAGAAAGGAGTTATGGCAGATAAAAGGTATTCCAGTCTTCCTTACGGCTCTGAGCTGAAATGAAGGGCATGGCTATGCAGATACACTGCATAGCCAGGGCCATCACTAGGTCTTATTATTGAGGTAGGGCTTATATTGAACAAATGCTTATTTTTTGGGTATGTCTTATTTTCAGGGAAACACGGTATTGGCCTCATTCTTTCCCATTTAAGGGGACTTTTTTTCATACTGGTTTAGGAATGGCTGTGGGCTGTGGAATTTAGCTTTAGGCAACACGATGTTTAATTCAGTAAGATTTTAAATTCTGAGGGGAAAACAAAATAAAATGAGGAAAAAGACAACTCTTCCTCCCCTCAGCTTTCAAACATAAAATCCCAGGAACATGAAATCCCTGACTGACCTAACTTAGGACACATGCCTGTCTTTGCACAGACCACCCTAGCCAGAATCATGGCTATATGCCCATACGTGTAGGTGGATGCTGGGCTACTATGACCCATTTCCAACCTAGAGATGCATTGTTACAGGGCAATCCTTCTGACTTAAGGAGAGGAAGGGATGTCATCAGAAAAAAATAGATGTCTATTTTACATATATGTAATCTGTATTTTAACCTTTTTTTTTTTTTACAGACAGAAAGAATTTATTTTCAGGTTTTCTTACCTAAGGGCAGCAAAGAGAAGAGCAAAGCAATGTTCTTTTGCCACCGATGGAGCATTGGGCGGGTCATAGACTCTGCAGCCTCTCTCGCCAATCTTAAAAATGACAATAACAAATTAACAGCTAAGGTAACATCTAGTTTTAATAATTTTTCCCTAAAATTTTTAGATCTTGAAGTTCTAAAACCTGTATACAAGCCTGTTGTTTACAGTATGATTTATTTCTCCCTTTGCAGAAATTGAGGTTATTTTTTCTCCCTTTGCAGAAATTGAGGTTATGTCACAATACTTCAGGAGAAGCCTTACCCTTGGATCAAACTTTGGAAACCTGGATTGCCAAAGAGGATTGTCCTTTATATAATGGTGGAACTATTATCTTGGAATATCTTAATGATGAAGAACAATTTTTGAAAGATGTCAGTTCTTACTTAGAGTAGTTGTTCAGTAATTCAAGGCAGAAATGAGAAGGCAACTTATACGTACATTTCAAGTCCACATCTTGTTATACAAATACTATTATTTTTAAAAGTTGTGTTTTAGCTTATTTCCCTTTTACTTTTTACATTATCAGTTTTCTATTAAATTTGACTTTTTGTGTTTTCAAGTCTTAATATTAACTGAAATTCAATTATTAGCACCTTCTTCTATTTAATTAGCTTTTACTAGGTTATGCTGTCGTAATAAAAACAAAAGTATATTTCCTGATGGGTTAATGTCAGCAGTTGGTTGTCTGTAGCACTGTTCCACATCATCTGCATTTCAAGATCCCAGGATTGAAGCTGAAGGAACAACCCCTTTGGGGGACTTTGCTATTCTTATGGAAGAGGGAGAAGAGATGATAGAAATTTCAGCCCTGAGATACATGAATTGTTTTAACTTTCAGGAAATCATATGGCCAAGCCTGCCGCCATGGAGACAAAGTGTAGGTTTACTATCTACTTAAAATATGATGTATCAGTTGTTGTATGTATGTGAATTACAGAAATTTAGAGATTATCTAAATTAGTCTTCTAAAGTTTTAATGAAGAATGTCAGGCTTAGGAAGGGAAATGTTTTTCTAGGTGTCATCTATCTGCATTGGACATATTTCTGATCAAAGACTTCCTGTAATAAGATTCATCTTTTTTGTTAGTGTAAGTGTATTATAAATTTTTTTTAAAAATGGGTTATTTCAACTTCATTGCTATCTCTATATATACCAAGACAAAAACATGCCAAATCTTTACCAATTCAAATGAATGCTTCTAACTGATATCTTTCATCTGTACCCAACAAAATTCAGCAGGAATAGAAATTGGTTCTATCTGTTCTTTTCCTCTTTTCTATTATAAATGTCATGGACATGTGTAGTAGTTTCAGGTGTAGTTAATGGAATAAACTCAGAATGCTTGTTTGGTCTATTTTCTAATTCTTCATATTACTTTCATGTGAGGAGTAGAAGTAATTTCCAGTTTTTATCACCTGCTCATACATTCATTCATGAATGTAGTTATTTGAGCACCTACTAAATATAAAAATATATTTCCAGTTGCCATAATGGATACAATGGAGAGGGGCATACATATGGGCATAACTTGGAGGTGTTGTGGATATTGTTCCAAACAACATAAGAACGCAAATTTCCCAATTGAGTCACACAAATTTAAGGTCTGGTGTGTTAAAACTTGTATTTACGCTATACTCTAGACTTATTAAATATGCAATATCACTGTGTCGATAAGACAATACACATGTGTTAATTTAAAAATACATTATTATTTAAAAAATGAGAACTACGATCTGAGCCTTCAGCAAGAGGTAATCTTTCCTGTGGGGATTCTGGCTTTGATATGGATAACTGCTCACAAATCAAGATGGCAGGTGCAGAAGATTGGGTGGCTGTGACAATTTCTTAAAGGAAGACAACAGTGAAGGTTGCCTCATCAGTTGACTCTTCAGTTCATGAAAAATTTCTTTGTAATGTGCAGTGCTGTTTGATAGCATTTTATCACTAGAATGTCTTTCAAAATTGGAGTTATCAATGCTTTATCAATGAATTTTGTAGCGTATTCTAAATCTTCTGTTGCCATTTCAACTATGTTCATAGCATCTTTACCAGAAGTGAATTCCATCTGAAGAAAACACTTTTGTTAATCCACTTTTGAAGAAGTAGTTCTTCATCAAGTTTTGTTACAAGATTGCAGCAATAGAGTCACATCTTCAGGCTCTGCTTATACTTCTTGTTCTTTTGCTATTTCTACAACTTTTAATAGTAACATCAAAGATTACTACTAATTATAGATCCCAATAACATATAATGACAAAAAAGCTGAAATCTTGAAAGAAGCATCAGAGACACAAAGTACATACTGTTGGAAAAATAGCACAAATTGACTTGCTGGATGCCATAAACCTTCAATTTATAAAAAATGCAGTATCTGTGAAGCACAGTAAAATAAGAGTGTCATAAAACATGGGATGCCTGTACTTAATAATACAAAGTAGTGCAAGTGCCAAAGTAGTAGATAGTTAAGTATAACTCTGTTTAATAGCTGTTACCAGAAACTATAAGAGTAGAGGTAGGTGGCCTAATATATATATTCCTAGAGACCAGAAAATTTCAAAACAAACTAATACCTTAATATTCATTAGCATTACTTATACTAAGATGATCAACCTATGTCTCATGATTTGAACTAAAACTATGCCAGAAAAAACTATGGGGATTGAGAAGATAGGAATTAAGGATGGCAGTGATTGAGTTAGACCAAGGGAGAAAGAAGAAGGGGGTTAGACCTACATTAGTAGGCTTAAGGGTAGTAAGTTAGGTCATGTCCCAGGTAGCGGGGCAAACTAGTCTGGGGGAGACACAGGTAATAGCATCCTCAGTATTAGGGACCAGCAGCTGCAACATGAATAGTCTACAGAGAACAAGGCGTGAGAGAGAACTATTAGTCCCTAAGCTCTTATTTCCACATTACTCTGAAATCAGATATCTTGGGCTTTCTTACAGGGCCTTCAGTTAACGTACTTCATGAAATTTTAGGGTTTGACTGTCCCCATCCCACTCTAATATCTTTCTACCTGCTTGCAGACAACTAAAATTTTAAGGAGAAAACCTAGAAAGCAGTGAAGAAGTTTAAAATTCAGATAGTGAAATAAAACTATGACACAAATGAATTCAGTTTAATCAGGCAGCAATACAAGAAAACTTCAATTTGTTGAAAAAATCGATCAAAATAGAAAATATAAACTTCATTTCTCACATAAACTCCAAAAACTTCAAGACACTTTTTATAAGCAGTAAGACTGGCTGTTTAGTCCATCCCTAAAGAAATGAGTATTCTGGGGATTTAACCACATCAATGCAATCTTTTTTATATTATTAACTGAAGAAAAATATGTGTCCTTTAAAGATTAGGAAACTAGACTGAAGGAGACGAGTCAGGACTGTAAGGTAAGTATCTAAAGATGTCCTGTTGAAACTTGCAAAATTGCCCTTGTTGGTGAGAGGAATGAATTAGGAGTACTGTCATAATAAAGAACTCTGGTAAAGTTTGCCTGGTCATCTATCTGCTAAACCTTTGGCTAACTTTCTCAAAACACTGTCATTATACGCAGATGCTATTCTTTGGCTGTCTAGAAGGTCAACAACAAAATGCCTTGAACATCCAAAAGACTGTTGGTATGACCTTTGCTCTTGACCAGTCCATCTTTCTTCTGTCAAGACCACTTCTCTTGGTAGACACTTCAGGGATCGTGCTCTGTCTTCAGTATCATGCTGGTAAAGCCATGTTTCATCTTCTGCTACGTTTTTTTGAAGAAATGCTTCAGGATCTTGATCCTGCTTGTTTAAAATTTCCATTGAAAGCTTTACCCTTGTCTGCAGTGGATCAGAGGGCAACAGATTTGGCACCTCTTAACTGGAAAACTTGCTCAACTATACTCTTTTGTGTAAACTTAGTGAATTATCTGTATGTACACTGCTGGTTTCATTGGGACGTTGTCCTCAAATTTTTCATAGTCAATGATCTCGTTTATCCCAGCTTTACTATAAATTTGATGTCTATTTTTGCTTCAATTTGAGCAGAATTCATGTTGCTCTAATAAAGGAGCTATTTTCAAACTAATGTCTTATCCTTAAAAAGATTTTGAAATACGTACATACATTTTCCATAAAAGTGCATTTTCAAATGAAATTTTTGGAGAATCTGGGTACATGTGAATGATACATTATCAGATTTTTTTTCCCCTAGACTCTCCAAGGTTTATTCTTTATAGTTTTTAGGTAAGGAGAGGGTTTAGAGAATCTGAAGAAAAAAGTTAGCAGATAGAAGAATTTAAGGGAAAAATAGTGACACACTTCACATCTGTGACTCAGGCAACAAAAATTATGAATCAAGATAGTCACATAAATATAACTTTGGTTTAAGAAGTTTCTATTACATGTTTGTTATCTTTTTGTAATTTTAAAATAGGGAAGTTCCCTGGCAATTTAACTAAAAAAAAATTTTTTAAAAAAAATCAGTGAACAGTTTAGTTTAATTTCCTAATCTCACCATTGGTATACATAGCTTGTCTTCCTTAATGTGGTACATGGAAATAAAATCTATCATTTCTAAAGTCTGTTTCATTAAAAATTAACCTCCATAAGTAACAGAATTTTTAAAAAATTGTTAAAATGTCTGATAAAAATGACTTTGACAATTTTTGAGCACCAAATGTACTTAATGTACTTAACAGACACTATTGTTACATTTAATACAGGTTGCATTGCAGTCATATGGGATCTGTTGAAATGGCTATCTGCTCAGAGACTGCTAAATCTGTAGGCTCGATAATAGATAGTTTTTGTTTGTTTGAAGCACAGTTTTCCTCTGTCACCTCAGCTAGACTGCAATGACATCATCATAGTTAAATGCAACCTCAAACTCCTGGGCTTCTGGGACTACAGTCACGTGCCATGACACCCAGCTAATTTTTCTAGTTTTTGTAGATAGGATTTCACTCTTGCTCAGGCTGGTCTCAAACTCCTCACCTCAGACTATCCTTCTTGGCCTCCCAAAGAGCTAGGATGACAGGGATGAGCCACTAACTAATAGTAGATAGTTGTATTTAGCTTTTTGTTTATCTGTCTGCTTAGCATCAGAGCACCTTCCCCCTGTTTGTGTAAGTCCTGGGGTTGAAGTCCAAAAACTTTGATGCCTTTCCTTATCTCTGGCAACCAAGGGACATGACACACTTGGACATGACCCATGTCATGGAATGTTTATGCCCATACTGTGAGTAGGAAGTAGTATTTTAAAGAAGGAAAAAGAGCTTAGAATTAATGTAATGTCTTAACATTGCCCCCTTGTGTCAGGGTTCAAGTGTCTGGTGGCAGTGGCCCCTTAACCAGGGTATAACTTTGGCCATGCTACCGGTCAGCTACTTTCCCTATTTTCACAATTTACTGCTAGCAAGCCAGGAAATTATTTTCCTACTGAAGAACACCAAAAGTAGTTTCAGTTTTTGCCTGACAGATATAGTCACCTTTAGAGTTATAGAAAAGCTACTAGCAACCTAAAGGTTTTGCCAAGGCCGGTTGTATGGCCTGTGTAGTTTTATAACTAATGATAACAAGTAACCCAGGTAAGTTCCAGGAGAGCAGAGACTGCATCTGATATGATCATTGTGGGAGAGCCGGCGACCAGCTCAGTGCCCCAGACAAACAGATGCTCAGTGAATATTTGATTTTGATTTCAGTGAATAAAATAGTAACACTGACCTCCCGGCCTCCTCGCTATCATACGGATCCTGACTGCTTTTACTGTAAATTTTTCATAGCAAGAAAGAGAACTAAAAAATGACACTAATGTTTTAAATATCAGTAAATAAGATTATTTTTTCATAGCAGAAATGAGCCAGTCAGGAGGAAAGAGATTAGGTTTCTGTTGTGATGCATTGAACTTGATAAATGGCATGGCTTGTTCATTTTCTTACCTGCAAGTTAAACAGTTTATGTCATTCACCAGGTAGCTTTATACTTGACAAGTACAGCAGTCCCTCCTACTGGACTTTGATCCAGCACAAACAACTGTTACCCAACCCCTATCTCAGACTGTCGCTGGACATCTGTACAAAGAATGTTCTACAGTTTTTAAAAACTGATTTTCCATATATGATCATTTAAATTTTCAAAATGATTAGAAAACTTTTTGTTATCCTACTTTTGCTTTTTCTGTCTTTGACTGAAGCAAGGAAGTCATTGCGAAATTTTCTGACTTTAGAGAAGACTGAAATACTATTTTTCACAAAGACTGAAGAAATCATCACGGTAAGGTCAAGCTACAAAGAAATACAGCCTAACTCCAGCCACCTCTTTGTGCTACTAGAAGATCCTGACAAGCTGCAAGTAGTGGACGTGACCAAGACCTCATCGGACGTTACCATCTTTAGCATAAAGCTGGTGGCAGATGAAGAAGGGGAAACAAATTTGACCATTCAACTCTGGGATTCTGAAGGTAGGCAAGAAAGACTCATTGACGAAGTAAAGAATGTCAGAGTCAAAGTGCTCAAACAAATAGAAGACAGTCTTTTCCAGGCATCATTGCATATTGACAGAAATATCCTGATGCTTATTTTACCGGTGATACTGCTAAATAAATGTGCATTTGGTTGCAAGATTGAATTACAGGTGTTTCAAACAGTGTGGAAGCAACCTTTACCAATCATTCTCGGGGCAGTTACACAGTTTTTTCTTATGCCATTTTGTGGATTTCTTTTGTCTCAGGTTTTGGCATTGCCTGAAGCCCAAGTTTTTGGATTTGTAATGACCTGCACGTGCCCAGGAGGGGGTGGGGGCTATCTCTTTTCTCTGCTTCTAGAAGGAGATGTCACTTTGGCCATTTTGATGACTTGCACCTCAACGTTATTGGCCCTGATACTGATGCCTATCAATTGTCATATATACAGTAAGATATTAGGGTTATCGGGGACATTTCATAGTCCTGTTTCGAAAATTGTGTCCACCCTACTTTTCATACTTATACCAGTATCAGTTGGAATAGTCATCAAGCATACAATACCTGAAAAAGCAAAATTCTTAGAGAGAATAATTAGACCTCTGAGTTTTATTTTAATGTTTACAGGGATTTATTTGACTTTCAGAATGGGATTAATGTTTCTAAGGACAGCTAATGTGGGGGTGCTGCTGTTGGGTCTCTTAGTTCCTGCTTTGGGTTTGTTGTTTGGGTTCTCCTTTGCTAAAGTGTGTATGCTGCCCCTTCCTGTTTGTAAAACAGTTGCTATTGAAAGTGGGACCTTAAATAGTTTCCTAGCCCTCGCCATCATTCAGCTGTCTTTTTCCCAGTCCAAGGTACAGTTGGCCTCTCTGGCTCCTTTTACAGTAGCCATGTGTTCTGGATGTGAAATGTTACTGATCCTTCTGGTCTACAACGCTAAGAGATATATTGCAGAGGATAAAAGAAAAAAGTACTCCCTAGTCTAACAATTAAAAAATTACTGAATTCTTAATCTGGGAGAGGCGCTGTGAGAGATTCAAAGATATCTAAAATACTATCTGCTCATAAGCCACTTCTGATCTGGCTTAACATTTGAAATTGGTGAGGGGTGAGAAGAAAAGAATATATATTCATATTTGTTCATCATCCAATGGCACAGAAAGTAAAATACTCCACACTAGTATTGAGGAAGGAGATAGTTTTTCAATTATGTTGGTTTGGGGAAAGTTTTATAGAGTGTAATATGGTTATGATACTTTATTTCTGTCTGTTAAATGAGAAAAGCACTAGAAAACTCCTGCGGTGATTACAGTGTCTCCTAAATATTTAAAGAAAGGATATATACATAGTAGAGATTTGGCAAATGATCATTCGTGAATTAATATATAAATTCTTATTTTAATTGCTCACTGGCTCATCAAAATCAATATGTCTTAAAGTATATGTCACGTCTATCTTCTCTGAGTTGCACTTCCTCCCGTCTTCCACATCTCCCCCCGTGTTTATCCTAAACACAAGTCAGCTCTTCTTCTTTTGTCCGTGTTTTTTAACAGTCAATCTATTTTCAATGGAAAATGTGCTATAATATCCTCTGATAAGTCTCCTCTCCATTCCCAGCACCATCCCTTTTGTTGCTTCTGGCCTCCAAGTACTGCCAATTAATCTTCCCCAAATCTAACTTTGACCATGTGATTTCCCTGCAATGAAACCTTATGGCCTTTCAGATAAGGTTCATATTCTTTAGTGAGGCATTTATTACACTCTACTTTCTGACCTTAATCTAGCTTCCCAGTTTTCTCTCCCCTCCCTCTTCTTTACACACAGACTACGTCATAATCAAGCAGAATGACTTGGTACGTCATGAATGTGTCCTTGTTCAGGCCAGCCACTGGGCTTGTTTTGTAACTGTTTTTGTTCCTGTTGTATCCTTCAGATGCTGTAAATCCTAAGGACAGAAAGTATGCCTTTTCATTCTATTACTTTCCATCAAGCCTAGCACAATATTTTCTATGTGCTTATTCAAATACAGTGTTGAAGCACAGACTAGGGCCAAAATGAATAGTATGTTTTTATACTACTTTTAAATTTTTAATGGAAACTTTTAATGTGTAGTTCCCATCTGCACTCTTCTAGAAATAAGGTGTAGGCATCAGGAACAGGAAATACCAATCTAAAAAAATTTGCTTTTTCTATTTCCTAGCTTTAGGCTTGTGGAAATTCCTTAAGTTCCTGATAGTTTAGTTTTCTCATTTCAGAAATGGAGATAATGGCATCACTTCCATCAGACTGTCCTGGGAATTATATAAAATCATCCATGTAATGTGCTTAGACGAATGTCTGACACATAGTAAGTGCACAGTGCTAGCTACGATAGTTATTTTATCCGAGTTTTAACTTTCAAACCTGATATAGCTGCTGCTGGTTTGAAATGCCAATATCATAACTGTGTATGGAGCCTAATACTATCAACATTTTCCTATCTGGATTATGCAGGGAATGTTTTTTCTTCTTTACCAACTCATAATATAACCAAGCTTCTCTTTGTCTGATGTCACCAAATCCAATATATGAATATCAAGATTTATAAAGGATTTGGTATGGCATGATGATAGATGGTTGTTTGATTTATAAAATAATAATTGCCTATGTGGTATATTTTATGCTTTTGAACAGAAATCTCCATTTAGAAGTTTAAAATAGAATCAAATTTGTACAAGCTTAATTTACGTACATGCTAATAAACATATTTTAGTAGTTGAGGGACAGGAGACCTGCCTTTCTATTGGACATAATAAGCTTGTGATCTCAAACAAAACACTTATCTGAACTTCAGTTTTCAAATATGTAAAATAAAAAGCTTTAATTGAGGTTTGAGATTTTGCTCACTGTTGTCAGGCAGTTGTTCTGGTATAAAAATCTAGTCCCTAGCACCATGGATAAGAGGGTAGGGAAAAGTGAGGAAGGCTCAGGTTGACAAGAGTAATCACAGTGTTTTTGGTTTTTAATTAAGGCAACAACCAAACTAGGAGCTTCCCGAGAGCCAGTATTTGTTGAATTTCCTACAGTGTTTGCATAATGTGTTGAACATAGTAGGTGCTCATTACACATTTATTGAATTAATTAATAAATAAGATCTATAAAGATCAGAATCAAATATTCTGAAGCAAGACTATGTCTTGGCTACAATTCCAGCTCTGTCAATTTACTAGTTAGTGACATTAGGCATGTTACTTAATCTCTCTATGCCCAAATTCATGGAGAAAATGGGGGGAAAAATAGTAGTATCTACTTCATGGTATTGTTAGGAGGATTAAATAAGTTAATATGAACAAGGTCCTCAGGACAACGCCTAACATATCCTAAGCTCTGTATTACTAATAATGCTTTTACTCTATGCATAGTTGAATGATGTTATACATTACAAAGCAATTGAAAATGCATGGATGGAATTCAGAATATATTTTATTTCTTTTATAGATATATCAGGAAGATAGATTTTACATAGTAAAATTGAAGATTTGGAGGGGGATACAGTAACTCAAGTTACTGTTTTTTGGTGTTTTTGTAAGATGGAGAGGCAGAAAGCAAACTGACTAGTTGGTTGAGTTTATATCAAATATTTTACACAACCATGATTTGTTAGACAAATGATTCATAAGTAGAGGGCTTAGCCTAGTTTTAAAAAAAGTTTTGTCCCATCCCTTAGGAGGGATAAGTCTATGATATACTGACCCAAGAATAACAATTCTATGACATATATTCTTTTTTTTTTTTCATTGAGGCAGAGTATTACTCTGTTGCCTTGGCTAGAGTGTCATAGTATCAGCTTAGCTCACAGCAACCTCAAACCACTGGGTTCAAGTAATCCTCCTGATTCAACCTCCCAAGTAGCTGAGACTACAGGTGCATACTACAATGTCTGGATAATTTTTTTATTTTTAGTAGAGATGGGGGTCTTGGTTTGCTCAGACTGGTCTCCAGCTTCAAATGATCCTCTTGCCTCAGCCTCCCAGAGTGCTAGGACTGCAGGCATGAGACAGTGTGCCCAGAGACATAAATTCTTATATTTGGGAAAGCCGTTGGCTTGCAGGAGCATGTCAGAGGTCTTAACCAATCAATAGCTGCACATCCAACCTATGCTATACATGAAATCTTACAAGATAGCATAAGAAATCTTATGAAATCTTAAGAAAAAGATTCTCCACCCCTGAGAAGCTGCCCAATGCATATGTAAATTTAATTATTTTAAGTCAAAATCCACTTTAATAATCAACTAAAAAACGTTTTTGCATGTGGAAACTAAAATTTTTTAGTGAAAAGATCTATCATTTAAAGAAGTCTTTTCCAAAGACTAAGTAGAGTTAGAAAGATGCCCACAATTTCTGGAAAAGGAATTCCTGTGCTAGTCCCTCTTTATTACACATATAGGGCATTTAGGTACAATTGCCCATGGGGAATGATGAGCAGACTACTTGGTGGTCCTTCCCCAGACCTCTCTCCTGTACAGTCTGGTGTCTGGGGAGGTGTTAGGGCTTTGGATCTCACTTCTTCCATTTTGGGGTGTAGCCTAATTAGAACCTGTCTCGTAGGGGAGGGTCAGCTGACAGGACAGGCTACCAAGGCCTCCAAGAGGGAAGTCAGCACAAGGAGGGGATGGATGCAGATGAGGTATACGTTACACCAAGAAGCAGACTTTGTCCTGGCACAGTGTGTGGCTGAGGCCAGAACCCATTCCCTGCCACCCACAAACACTTTGGCATAGCAGATGTTCTCTGGGATTGGGAACAATGGCTACAGATGTCACTGTAGCTTAAAAAAAATGCCCCTTTAGGAACCTAAGACACACATCAGGTGCTGAGGTCTCTGCAGCCACCTGAACGACTTTCACAGTACTGGACAAAAGTTCCTTTGGACTGCATGGGACCAGTGAGCAGCACTGCCACAGCCACCTCTGAACACTAGGCTTCCTGTGCAGTGGCAGAGGTTCCATTACCTTTCACTAAGGCATTTGGAGCAGAATGGCCTCCTTGGACCGGAGAAAACTGAGTTACCTGAGAAGCATGGTGAAGTAGCAACAGAGACTTGTAGAGAAAAACTGGACTTCTTGCACATCTGACAAAAGAAACTCAAATGGTTTTAACTCAAAGAAATAAGACATTCCATCTTTTATGTATCTTACTTTAAACTGGTTATGCTAATTTTAATAGCTTTGCCAAATCAGTGGGACCATGATCATTTACAAAAGATTTAATGATAATTGATAATATTATTGCAAATGTCTGGAAAATTGTCATTGGTTATGAATCAAGACTTATTTATCAGCATGCTACTGGCAAGACATTCCTTTAAAGGTGATTGACAAGGAAGAATACAAAAACTAGTTTCTGAAGGCTTTTAAAATCAAGAAGACAAAATTATCATTTGATAGGGAAATAGAGGTGTCCAAATCAGACAAATTTCATACTCCTTATGAAGTGTGAGAATTGGACCCACAGATCACATCATGCATATTTGAGACATTTTCATTTGCAACATGTTGATGACAAACAACATCATGACTTTTGATTAAACTGAGAGAAATAATCATTTCTTAAGTGAGGAACCAAATAACTCACTTTCCCAGTAAGTGGTTAGGACATCTTACAGCTCCACGTTGCATTATGATTTTACATATTATAAATTACATATTTATGTACACACACACACACATATCATGTGGCCACCCTTTCAAGAAAAGTATACATTGAAGGCCATTGACTAGCCCTTATACCTCATATAATGCAACCTCATTGTGCCATACATTCTCTGGCTATGGACTTTTACAGGGGCCAACGGAAAACTTCCCCTTTGGCCTCTGAATGTTTGATGAAAATCAACTTACCAAAGGCAAATCAGTAGAAAAGGATATAAATTTATTTAACTATAGTTTTATGTAGCCCAGAGCCTCTAGAACTAAAACCCAAAGATACAGGGGGAAAAAGCCATTTTTATGCTTAAGGTCAATGAAGTATGGAGAAAATTTCTGTGGAGAAATATGACTGGACAAAAAGGGTATAATCTCCTGCTAATAGACTGAGGGAGAAACCCAGCAAAGCCTGGCTATTTATATTCTTCTTGGACTCTCTCTATATCATTCCTTCCTTCTGGATATTGGGTAGGGCCCTTTCTGGAATGGGGGTCCTATGACCTACAATCAGAAAAAAAAAAATCACATAATTTACATTGAATTTTTACACAGAAAAGCTGGGAGATTTAGGGTGAGATCATTAGATTTTATGTCTGGCTTTGTAGAAAAGGGGTTCTTGTTTCTATGACCTGCCTTGGGAAAGAGGGATTCTAAATCCTGTGGCTCCCCTTGGGAGAGAATTAAAAACCAGAAGCAGGAGGGCAGAAGGTCGGAGAAAAACTTTTGCTTCTGAGGTGCTCATTTTGGGGAAACTTTTTCTTAGCCTTAACGATTTGAAGTCAATGTGTTTCACTCTCTGCTCTTGCTGTGTGAACTGAGGACAAATCACTTAACTTTTCTGAGGCTCAGCTTCCTCATCTGTACGATGAAGCTAATCATATGTTCCTCATGGATATGGAAACACAATTTCCTGAGGCATATTAAGGCCTCAATAAATGATATGTAAATGAATGTCAAGAATGAGGGAAGTTAGTTTGGGATATCAGTTATCAAAAACAGTATCACTTATATCAGTTTACCTTGTATAAGTCTGGCAAAAAAAGCTGCACAACCAGAGTTATATCTCCAATTTTTGTTTTGTTAAAACAGTAGTATGGGATAAATGAGAGGAAGGAAGAAAGAAAGCAAAATAGGAAAACATTAAGGAATGGAAGACGAAAGAAGAAATGGGAAAAATAAAAAGGAAAGGAATTTTTAATAGAGTAAGAAGAGACACGCAGGAGAAAGGAAGTTGGAAGAGTCAATAGTGAAAAGAACCAGCCACATCTCACCTGGCAAGCAGGTCAGGACCCAGCCAGGGAAGGCAGACGCCTCTGAGAGGCGTGTCGGGGGGCGGGGCCCACGGCAACCACGCCCTCCAAGGCCGGAGCTTAAAGGGGCGGGACTTCCTGTCTGAGCCGCCTCTGCGCCTCCGGAAGAGCTGAGTAGCGGATAACGCCGGGCATCCAGCGAGTAGGACGCACTGCAACTGGAGGTGAGACCATTGCCCACTATCCCTCGCCACCCTCTCGGCGATCGGTGGGGCGCTGTGGGCCTGGGCGGCGCGGAGGCGGCCTCTCCCCTCCGAGGAGCGAGGGCTGGCGAGGTCGGGGCGGGGCTGGATGCTGGGGCGGAGGTCGCATTGGGTGACCTGTGTCCTGCGATGTTGCACCAGGAACAGTCCTGACGTTTTTTGGTAGCGGTTTCACCCACCCGATCCTATCCTCGTGGTAGCTTATGTAGAATACGTACCTCCTTTTAATTTTTACCACTCCGAGGAAGCTCGGAGAGACCTGACAGATTCCCGGGTTCATCCCTGCCCCTGTCAGGGATGGGGCAGTGCCGCATTTCCCGTCCTGTGCGCTGTTGAGCGCTGAGGACAAGAGACAGAGAGGAAGGTGATGTGGCTCCCACTGCTGAAGGCTGTGATCAGGACAGACACAGTTGGAAACTTTAATGGCTTTGGGAAAATGTAATGAATAAACTACGGCCCCTCTCCATCACAAAGCATAATTTAATTTGTAATACCCAAGTTACCTTTGACTTCTGCAAATGCAAGAGGAGCTCAACGTGACTTGTATTCATCTTATCAGTATATGTCGAATATTACAATTTTCATACAGTTTTTTTCTCTTGTAAAATGTGTATACATTTCCTGGCATCCTCTGTATATATTGAAGAAAGACTAATAAATCTTATACTTAATGATCTTGAGAAAGCAGCAGGCAGCTGCAGAACTCCTCCTCCAAAGATAAGAACAAACTTTACAGTGAGCTAAAATAACCTTGAAAAAAAAACTGTGTAACAAATAACAGCACCCTTGTTCCTTGAGAAATACAATTGTTAACTCTTTGTACTCTTTGTTGTAACTGTAACTATACAGCTGATATTGAGCTGAAGAAGAAAATATAAAAGAGTTTGGAAAGAACTGTTCCCCGGAACTGAGTGTTTTACGCTTTGAGGCACCTGAGTTCTAGCCTGAATTTAAAGGATTCCTTCCTCTATATTTTTGGTGTAAGTGTCTGTCAGTTTTAATTTGCTGTTTTCCTGCAACACTATTATATGTGATTTTTATATATGTACATATATACATATTTATATGTTATACATTCCTAGCTCATAACTCTCATAGCTTTTGCCAAGCCTTTTATTATAATGTTGGGGTGTTGCAGGCCTCTGATTATGGAATCTTTCTCTCTGACTTCTCTTCCTTTCACCTTTCCTTTTTCTCTCCAAGGAGGAATCTTCCCCAGCCTCTCCGTCTTAGAGTTGACCATAAAAAATTTTTTGACCTATCTTGTTTGATTGTAGGTCATGAGACCCCCATTTTAGAAGGAGTCCTACCCCATACCATGGAGAAAAGAATGCTGCACAGAAGAGCCAATAAGACTCTAAACAAAGGGGCCTTGCTGTGATCTAATATTAGTATTAGATCATTTAATTTTTTTTATAGCATCACATTTCTGTACAATTGTTAATCATGCCTGTCCAGTGAAATCCAAACTCAGGATTTCAAACTCCTCTGAGTTCACAACCCATATATTTAGCTGCCTAGTTGTCATCTCTTTTGAATTCACCAAGGGACCTCATTCTCTTCCAGTTAAACTCTTGATCTTCCAACCTAACACTCAAATCCCAAACTCCACTCTTTTCTGTTGCTCCCTGTTTCAATGGCTATCACCATTGTCCATGCAATTGCCAAAGTGGAAGAAAAACACGGGATTTCCCCTTTGGGAAATCTGGGCATCCTTCAACTCTTCCTCTCCTCATACCCAATATCCAATGTAGTTACTATTTCCCCAACTATCTACCAAAGCAGATAGTTCTTGACTTCTTGGTTAACTTCTCTGCCAACAGAACATCCTTCCTCAGGTTTAAGTCAAACATGGGGTCTCCTCTGGTCTTCTGCATCTAAATCCAAGCCTACTACCCATCTACCTACACACCCTCTCTGCCTTTCCCTCCACCTTCCGGCCCATTCTGTTTACTAGCACAATGACGTGCTTTCTCAAGGCCTGTCTATAATCAGACTCCTCTCTCTAAGGCCCTGGAAGGGATGGTCCCAAGCCTCCCAAGCCTCATCCTTCCCTGTTTTTCTTCATCTCTGAGCTTTCACATTTATGCCTTCCAGTTATTCAGCTAGAACCTTTATGGCAGAAAGCAGATGTAGCTGAGAACATCTAGTTCTGTTAAGACTAGAAGAATGGAATGGGAATAACAATGAAAAAAAAAGTTTAGAAATAATTATTGAATAGCTCTGAGGAGTTACTTACATACCTAATTTGGAAAGTGGGCTCCTTTAAGAAATGTTTTTAAATGCTTTCATCAGGAAAAAAAGCAATTAGCAGAAACTTACTCTATAGGTCTTTTCCCCTCCCCGTTCCTGTAATGTGATGACAGAGGCAGGGATGTCAGGGTAGTCCTCAAGATGCAACTCTGTGCCATTTATTCTCAGTTGTAAGAAGACAAAATTAGGGTTACTTTATAAATGATGCCACAGATTTTGAGTCTGACAGCTTAAAAAGCTTCATTGTGCTAGGTACAAATTTTAGAGTGTGGTCAAGCCAGTGGTGAGTTATTTTAGTCTTCAGAAGTCAGTGGAAAGCTGGAGAGTTCAGAGGACAAAAATATGTTATTGTTGTTTTTTCCCCTCCTGTCTGAATCTCAGTGAAAGAAATTTTTCTTTTTCTTTTTTATTATTTTGGGGGAATTGGAATTTGTTTTTCTCAGAATGTTATAATAGAACAATGGACTTTAAAATCAGAACTAAGTTCAAATTCTCTCTGTGTCATCTGTATATTTTTGAGCAACTATTTCTCATCACTGAGCCTTCTGTTCTTTATCTTTACCACCTCACGAAAAGATAATCTTCTGTATAAAGCACCTCACTCCCTGGCATTCAGTCAGTACGTTTATCTTTTGCTCTTTCCTTTCACATGGTATTTGTTTCTGTACTTTCCATGTTCCTTCTCTTATTTTTACTTTATTTTCTACCCAGACATTTACCTAGGTTTAAAAGTATTCCATCCTTCTTGTCCAACTAGCATTTTGTTTTATTTTGTTTTGTCTTTTCTGCTATGATATGTTATATTACATTGACTGAGAGATAATTTCATAGAACTTTTTTTGTTAGGAAAATATTTTTACAGTAGAAGTAATTTAGGTAAAAACTGTTTTTATCCAGGCCTAGGAGTACATGTTGGGAAACAATTTAACCTCTAGACTAGGGCAAGAGATGACTCTTAGAATGAAAGTCTGTTGCTTATTAAAAAGCTTTTGTGAAATAATTATCATTAGAGAATTGTAACTACGTGGTGCTGATATGTGTTAAATATTTTCAGAAGATGGCTGATCCTTGGCAGGACTGCATGGATTATGCTGTAACCCTAGCAAGACAAGCTGGAGAGGTATGGACTAAAACTTTGTCAGCCGTAACATGATGGTTGAGGGCAGTGTGTGATTGCCTTGTTAAGTGAAATATGTATTTTGATAACATTTGTTTTCGTTTAACTAAATCCTGTAAATCGAGTGACTACTCCAGTTTTATATCATTAAACTTTTTGTGATGACACTTGTTTTTGTACAATAGGGTGAAAGAGTATTTAGAATTCTTGTCCGTCGTAGGTCATCACCATTAAAACCTTATTTTTAAAACATTTTTGCAGGAAATTTTTAAGAATATCTTTAAAGAATATCACTTAAGGTTTGAATGTTTTAAAACATTTCTATATTTTACCTTTTTGTTTGATTTAAAATTACTTATGTCTGTCCTGTTTGCTTACCAAAAAATCTTTTCAGGTGGTTTGTGAAGCTATAAAAGATGAAAAGAATGTTATGCTGAAAAGTTCTCCAGCTGATTTGGTTACTGTTACTGACCAAAAAGTTGAAAAAATGCTTATTTCATCCATAAAGGAAAAGTATCCTTCTCACAGGTATTTCTTTTTTAATTTCAAATGATAGAATGAAGCCTAGGTTGAATATACTGGGGAAGAATTTTGATTCTAGATGGAGAAAATGACTTAGTTAAACTGAAAAGTAATTGAGGTGGAGGGTGGCGGGCAGCTGAGGCAGGAGCCCAGGGAAGGAGGAGGAGGTGTGCGCCTAGGTGACTAGGAGCTCTGCCTTAGGAAGCTGCTGGTGGCCTCACTCTTGACCGTGACAGTTTTGAATGCGTTTAATTAGCCTTCTATCTTGATCTCATTAGCTTTGAGATTACAGATTCTGGACAGAAGCATGTGATTTCTGAGCTTAAGTTGTCCATGCTCAACTACCAGAGAGCAGGGGAGGGGGAATATTTGGATTCTTTCATAGTAAAAGGAATGTATGTGTGCTGGGAAGCCAACCTAACAAATGGCTGCCACTGCCGTGATTTAGAAGTTTGATTTTACTCTCTATATTGTAAAATTCTCTATATGGTAGGGTAGCAGTAGCTTGAGTGAGTTTGAGAGAAAATCCTATCTGGGGTTCTTTTATAGACACAGAATTTAGCAAAACTTTGTCATCATTTTACAGAGTTAGCAGCAGCATTCTGTACGTCTTCCCAGTCACGCCGTTGGCCCTTCCTGGTCTTTTTTGCCATTGAGAAGAAAAAATGCTTAAAGCTGAGACTAAATATATTTCCTCCCAGTGAAAAAGTGTTCACCTAAAAAAAAAGAGATAAAAGAAGATTATGATGATGATGCTTATTAAGATAGTTCAGTATGAAATAAAGGAAAATAAATTTTTAAAAAACATGAAAGAAGAAAACCAATAAATCAAACACTACATTTATGGAATTTCCAGATGATTTATTGCATAGCATGTACAGGCCTGTACAGCACAGTAGTTTGGGCAATTTGCCTTCTCACTGATCACTTAATGTTGTCTGTGTTAGTCTTATATTACTGCAGAGCAAATTACCCTAAAAACTTAGAGCTGCAGACAGCAAACATTTATTATCTCACAGTACCCTAGAATTGTACAATGTGGGAGTCTCTTAGCTGCTTGGTTCTAGCCAAGGTCTCCCATGAAATTCAGCCAAAGCACCATCAGGGCTGTGTGGTCATCTCAAGGCTGGACTAAGGCTGAAGGGTCACTCACTTGTATCAATGCTTGACAGAGTTCAGCCCCTCGGGGGTTGTCAGCTGGTAGCTTTTGCAGTTCCTTGCCATGGGGACCCCTTCACAGAACAGCTCACAACATGGCAGTTGGCTTCCCCCAGAGCAAGGAGCCAGTGGGTTAGGGAGGGAGAAACAGAGTGAATAAGATGCAAACCGCATGGCCACTTTATGAAGGAACCTCTGAAGTTTTCCCGGTCACTTCTGCCTTATCGGTTAGAAAGGAATCACTAGTCTAGCTCACACTCAAGGCTAGGAGATATGGTTACAGGAATTTTTTCTTCAGTAGGTCGTTGGTCTTGGGGATTCAAAGAGTGAATCCATAGACCACAGATCAGTGTTAAGACATGATTTATTTTATAGAAAAAAATACAGAAACAACACCAGAGCTTCTGGCAGAGAGAAAAACCCAAGTCAGAAAAAGTGTTCCCCTAGGTTCTTTGTCTAGGGGTATACCTAAAGCTCAACAAATGAATGGATACAAGCCTAGGAAAACTTAGATGAAATTGACCAGGCCTGGGAAATGAGGCGTTCCCTGTTCAGCCACAGTTGGGAAGGGAGGGAGACAGAGCAGAGACACCACCTCGCTCCCTGAGCTGGCAGCCTGGAGGCGCTCCCCCCACCCAGCAGTTGTTGGGCCCCTCCAGCCACTGGAGCCTCCTGCACCTGCACCCCCTCCAACCCATTCATTACTCTGCTGGCTGCTGCTACACCAACACCCTCAGGGCTGGGACGGCAGGTCCTCCCCTCAGCTCCAGCCACACTGGCTGCGGCGCCACCTACCCTATATCGGGATCAGACTCTACCTCTTGAAGGGAGGGGGATTAGAGAATGTGTACACTTATTTTTAAACTCACCACATTTTCTTAACAATTCTCATCTGCTCCCAATGTCCCTTCGGGTGTGCGCTTGCTCACTAGTGTACACACATGTGTGCCTTTACTAACCCTCGTAGGACATGGAATTTTGAATTCTGTAATTTTTTACATGAATTTGTTCAGAGGGAAATAAAATAAAGCTTCATTTTTATCAGTCTTTACAGGAAAGAAAAAGAAGCAATGTTAGAAAAGCAGGGCACAGAGTTTTGTGTTTTATGGTAGACTCTGTGTAGCTAAGGAGGTGTTGTGGCTTGGACACTGTGGAAAGCAATGTAAAGTTAGGGCTCTGTTATTCTTGCTTTTAGTTTCATTGGTGAGGAGTCTGTGGCAGCTGGGGAAAAATGTGTCTTAACCGACAACCCCACGTGGATCATTGACCCTATTGATGGAACAACCAACTTTGTACATCGGTATGTTTTTAAATTTTTTAATATCATTAACATTTGTATGTTAACTGTATGGACCTTTGAAGTCTGAGGAACATACACACTTTAGTGAATTGTGTAATTTGCTTATGGTTTTTATTCTAAGGATGTCTATATAGAACGCAATAGTAGAGCAAAATGCACTGTCCAGACTTTGCACCAGATGTTGAGCAGAAGAAATACTGTGTGATCCTGTCTTGTGCTGCAGAGTGCTCTGTTTACCATTCTTTTTCTCACTGTTGGAGTTATATGAAAAATGGAAGCAAACAACATTGCTGCTTTGACATCATCAGTAAAGAAACTAAGAAGGTCACTCCTAGAGTGTTGTTACTCCGGAATATAGAATGAGTCCAGTCCAGAAGAGCAAACAGGGTTCACAGTGCAGGGGTGTTAGGATCAGTAGGCTTCAGCTTCAGTTCTGGTGCCTTTTTTTTGTGATCTTGAGCAAGTTAGTTAATCTTTCTAAGCCTCAGTGTTTAATCAGTTTATAAAATGGCCCTATTTATGGCACCTGCCTTGTATAATTGTTTGTTATTGGAACTCATTGATTGGAACATTCATATAAGAATGTAGTTTAGTTCCTGGCATGGTGCAAGTATATTACAGAACTCATGTTATCACCAGAAGAAAGCACAATGGAATTACTTGTGAGAGTTAAAATGAATAGCCTTGTTTGGTATGAGTACACATAAATGTTATATTTCAAGTTGCCATGTAGTTGTACACATGTATACTATATATAGAATCACTAAAGTCTATAAAGTTAAGTTCTAGAATCTATTTGTGATAGAATGTTGTGTCTTTTAAATTTGGAATGATACTGACACTATACTATAATGTTAGAAGAGAAGATTATATTAAGCTGGATGTAGTGGCACATGCCTATAATCCTCGCACTTTGGGAGGCTGAGGCAGAAGGATCCCTTGAACTTAGGAGTTCAAGACTAGTCTGGGCAAGAGCAAGATCCCATCTCTACTAAAAGTAGAAAAAGGTAGCTAGGCATTGTGGTGGGCACCTGTAGTCCCAGCTACTCATGAGGCTGTAGCAGGAGGATGGCTTTAACCCAGGAGATAGAGGTTGCTGTGAGTGAGGCTGATGCCATGGCACTCTAGTCTAGGCAACAGACAATGACTACATGTCAAAAAAAAAAAAGACAGAGAGAGAGAGAGAGAGAGAAGATTGTATACTACGATGTTTATATTATGATCCTATATTTGTTAAAATAAAAACTATATTCAATATTTAAAACTTTTTATTTTTATTAGTTTCCTTGGACTTATTTTTTCTATTTTCTTCCTCTTGTTTTTCTTATAAATCAGAAATTACTACCTTTGTTCTAATTTTCATGCCACCATAGACACAGGTCGTAGTTAACAGTCTACTTTTCAGATGTGAAGCGTCAAGTTTGGTGCTAGAGTAGAGAGAAGTAACAACTCCCTGTTCTGTATAATACAGTACCTCTTGGTATCAAGGATCCAGGCTATGGGAAAAATGTTCAAAAAAGTCTTTTCTTTCTAACTACAATCAATACAAACATTTTGAAAAATCATTTTTACTTTTTGAGAAAATGTTTTTGTCTGGTTATTATATCCATGGCATTTCACATTCTAAAGATGTAGATGGCATCTAGTTCTAGGTGCCCTTCCACTTCTAGGTGCGGATTCCCAAGATCCATTTCTGGTGGATCAGTTATCAGTTCCTTTCCAATCCTTTGACAGATGTTTCATGCCTATAGAAGCATCTTGTATGTACACATGTATATGTAACACCTCCCTTTTCTGTCTTATATAAAGGAAGGGTTGTATACTGTACCCTGCATCTTACATTTTTGAGGGGGGAGGGATCAGACTGTTTATATGAAAATGTTTATAAGTACTTATATCATGAACAAATGAATTTTATAAATTTTATTAAAAATAAGTTCTATCTTTGTAAATTTTTGTTTTGTCTTTCTTTTAAGATTTCCTTTTGTAGCTGTTTCAATTGGCTTTGTTGTAAATAAAAAGGTATGTTGTTTTAAATGTATTAGTTGATAAAAGGGCTGGCTGTCCTGAGAAGGAGTGACTATCTTCTTCTTCTTCTTTTTTTTTTTAATTAAATCATAGCTGTGTACATTAATACTGTCATGTGGTACAGTGCGCTGTTTTTATATACAATTTGAAAGGAATGACTATCTTCATAATAAAGTCAGATTTTTATTCATATAACTGCATCATTTTGAATATAAGGCACAGGACTATCAAAATTTAAACGATATAATTCTAATGAGGAATATTTATTGTTTTCTGAGAAGCAAGAATTGTAAAGAGAAAATACATGTAACTGAAGTACAATTCAGTATTTCGCCACTGTTATGATAGAATCAGATCTGATAGAATTTGATGGGTGATCAAAAATGCTTTGTGGAAGTAGGATTTGAACCAAGAATGCTTTTAATTGGTGTCAGTGAAGAGAGATGTCCAAAGACCAGGAAGTAGCAGGGGTCAAAGCTTGGTTGGAAAATGCAGAGTATATTTAGGAATCTACCTCTAATTGAGTACTTTTATCTAAAGTGCACTAGAGCAAAATCTGTAGCTGTTGCATTTTCTTACAGTTTGGCTATTTGGTTGGTCAAACAGTGGTAATATCTTGTCTTTCGGGAACTTATGATATGTTTCATCAACATGCAAACAGAATAAGAAATATCTGAAAATTAAAACTAAAGCATAGCCTGTGGGTTGTAGTGATCAGCAAAAAAGTCCAAAAGTTGCTAAGTGATCATTTTTGTATATAATGACCTCTGGGCTAGGAGGTTCCCTGTCCTGGAACTCAGAGTTCAGTGCAGACTTACATGTGTGAACAGTAAAGATTGTATGTGGCAGGACAATGAGAGAAAGAGAGAAAAAAAAAAAACCATGGGAACACAGAATACAACCCATTCTACCCACTGTAGGTTGTGAAAATCTTCCCAACAGCAGGGCTTAGAAATTGGTCATGTTAGTTGGCACTTAAAAAATTAGGGTGTTGCCAGATTAAAAAAAAAAAGAAGAAACATTTTAATCAGAAAGAATAGCCTGAAGAAATTGAAAAGTATGATGTATATTGGGAACAGGGAGATGTTCATTGAGGGGGAAACTCAATAAACCAACTCAGTGTCAGAGCAGAGGGTGGTGGGTAAGTTAGTTGTGGCCTTTCTGGGAGGCCTGGTAGCCTGTCTACTCGAGGAAACGCTAAAATCAGGAAGTGTTTTTAAGATAAAATTTGAAAAAGGAGATTTGTAGAGAAAGAATAATAGGTGACCAGGCAATAAGTGAATTTGACCTCTTTGAATGTAACATAGGTTCTAAGGATCTGTGATGGAGGGTTGATGGGACCCAGAATTTAGGTGATAGTGGATTTTGTGGTCTGAGAAGGACCAACCTGTAAGAATACAGAGAGCTAAGAAGGAAATGGAAGCAAAGGAAGAAGGAAAAAACCCTAAGGTACACAGCTTTTAAGGTGAGGCAGAGAAGAAGGTTCTAACATGATGACTCTGACATGGATTAACTGGCAAGAGAGAACCGAGAGTGATGCCAGAAACATGGAGGTACTGAATTAAGTGCTAAAGAAGTGTTGACAATGGACGGCCACTATCCCCAATTCTTCAGACGAGGCACGTGGTCAGGAAGAGCTCATTGATGTTCTCTGTGTGAGAGTTTCAGAAGAATGATGAGGGCAAAAGAGTGATGAGGGCAAAAGCCAAAGTGTAGTGTGTGAAGAGGAGAACAGGACATGGAAGTGGGCACTACTCGGCCAGTGAAGGGAAAAATAGACAACACTGTGAAGGTTTTGTAAGGGAGGGAGAAACTTGGGGAGAAGGCCAGAGAAGAGAAATCCAAGGCGGGAGGTATCAATGATGGAGCATCATTTCAGAGACTGTATGACAGGGTTGGAATCATAACACAGGAGAAAGTGTTCACCTTAGAAAATAGGAAAGATCTGTCTTCATCTAGGGCAGGAGGGAGAGAGGTAAGGTGGGAGCTCTTACCAAAGTCTGGATGTGGATGGGAGGGGAGTGGGGATTTCAGGTCTGATGACTCCTTTGTCTGATTAGGTTGGAAACACATGTAAGTCTTTCCTTGTTTAGCTATTTTGGTACAGTGTTAGTATTTCAGATTTTCTTGTTAGCATCTTAGAAAAATGTATTGATTTAATGACGAAAAATAGATTTGGTAAAAACTTGTCTTACTTCTGCAGATAGAATTTGGAGTTGTGTACAGCTGTGTGGAAGATAAGATGTACACTGCCAGGAAAGGAAAAGGTGCCTTTTGTAATGGTCAAAAACTACAGGTTTCAAAACAAGAAGGTAGGTTTAGTCTCCAATTTTTGGTCCAATTGATATTGTATACTCTTATTTGATTGGTTTGTAATTTGTTATGGAGTTCTCCAAGTGTTAACTGATTCATAGATTGTGTCTATTTTCTATGTATGTATGTATGTATGTATTTTTGAGACAGAGTCTCACTCTGTTGCCCAGACTAGAATGCTATGGATCAGCCTAGCTCATAACAACCTCAAACTCCTCAGTTTAAGTGATCCTCCTGTCTCAGCCTCCCGAGTAGGTGGGACTACAGGTAGCCGCCACACAGCACCTGGCTAATTTTTTTTCTGTTTCTAGTACAGACAAGGTCTTGCTCTTGCTCAGGCTAGTCTCAAACTCCTAAGCTTGAGGGATCCTCATGCCTCCCAGAATTGCAGGTGTGAGTCACTGCACCTGGCCTTTATTTTTTTTATTTCATTTTGTATTTTGAATATGGAATGGAAGCAGGAAAAGCAAATGTAATTGAGCAAACATTTTAGGCCCAGAGTTGTATTAGGTTATGGAAAGAGCACGGGGTGAAGACTGACATTTTACTCAAGTGGAGTTCAGAGTTTGTTGTGTTAGGCACTGTCTCTCAGAGTTTAGAATTCTTCCAATCTGATACCATTGGGACCAGTTATTAGAAAGTAACTAAGGGGAAAAAGCCTTTAAAGCTAGGAATTACTTAAAAGATACAGATACATTTTTTATGAGCAGGGTGATTTGCATTTTAAGTCTTCTTTTTCTGTGACTGCTGTTGACCTAAAAGGAGGAAGGTGAGACAAAATCAATAGAAAGAGTTTATTTGGGCCAAGATTGAGAACTGTAGCCTGGGACATACTTCCCAGGTTGCCTTGGAGAGAGCGCCAGAAAACAAAGGCTCAAGTTATAAAGGAAGAAGGGAGGGTGCCTTCAAGAGGCAATTATTTTTAGCTCAAGGCCTAGAGACATGATTGCCTTTCTATTTTAAATGCCTAGAGAGGGCCTGATACAGTAATTTAAAGCAGCCTTCAGATAAAAAGTTTTCTATTTTCTTCAGATAAAAAGTTTTCTATTTTCTTTCTCAAAGCTGATTGATGTTTTGAGTTACCTTTCTTCCATAAACCACATCCAACATTTTCTACAGTTTTCACGTTCAGATTCCAAGTGCAGCATGAACTTAAAGATAACTTGCAAAACAGTGTGAGTTCAGACTCTTTCTAGACTTCTGTATTCCCTCCCAACCAAACACTGAAATTGAGTGCAGTCTTTTGCTTCATTTCCTTTTTACTGAACTCTTAAGACCCCAAGGATGGGGGTCCTCAAAAATGATGCATCCTAATTTTTGAGATGTTAACATGTGTAAAATGTGCATCTAAGCAAGGAAGAAATGTGTTAGGTTTCATAAAACCAACTCTTTCCCTGTACGTAATCATTCTTCACTTTGTGTAATAAGTTAAATTATGTAACTATCAGAAGTGCGTTAACAGTTACAAAAATACTGGGAATGAACATAGCTGGTGATCACCCATCTCAGCTGGTGGAAGGAGGTAAAGTGTGGGGAGTGCTGAGCTTCAGTTAGACGTTTTAGAGAGAAAGCATTGGCTGGTCTGTATTTAATTTTTGTTTTCTTTCAAATCTATGCCTAAATCTCTTATGAATTTAATTTCAAACATATATATGTATATGTTTATATATATATTTGTTTCCCATGAAAGGTATCATACCTGCAGGCATGGTTGTATTTTATACTTTTTGTATTGGTCTAATAAGCTGGACATTCTAATGCTTATGAAAATGACCACTCTGGGAGAACAGTTTTATTAGTATTTTAATTTTTTTTTTTTTTTTTTTTGAGACAGAGCGTCAAGCTATCCCCCTGGGTAGAGTGCCATGGCATCACGCTCACAGCAACCTCCAACTCCTGGGCTCAAGCGAGTCTCCTGCCTCAGCCTCCCAAGTAGCTGGGACTACAGGCGCCCGCCACAACGCCTGGCCATATTTTGGTTGCAGCCATCATTGTTGTTTGGCAGGCCCGGGCTGGGGATTCGAACCCGCCACCTTAGGTGTATGTGGCTGGCGCCCTAGCCACTTGAGCCACAGGCGCCGAGCCGTAGTATTTTAATATTTAAAGACTTAGAAACAAATTTGAGAAAGCTTGTGTGAGGGATAAAAATGTCCTATGTCATTCTGAATTATGAGTGTCAGTTTTTTTCAATAATTCTAATAATGGAAGGCTAGTGATTATTTAAAACATTTTCTTTTTTAGATATTACCAAATCACTCTTGGTGACTGAGTTGGGCTCTTCCAGAACACCAGAGACTGTCAGAATTATTCTTTCTAATATGGAAAGGCTGTTCTGCATTCCTATTCATGGGTAAGCTCTTTTCAGTTCTCACTTAAGGTTCCAGATTTTTAACTTTTTTTTTTGAAATTTAAGACAGGATCTTGCTCTGTCTGTTGCCCAGGCTAAAGTACAGTTGTGCCATCATAGCTCACTGCAGCCTAGAACTGCTGAGCTCAAATTATCCTCCCACCTTAGCTTCCAATTAGTTGGGACTAAAGGCACACACTATCACCTGGCTAATTTTTAAATTATTTTGTAGAGATGGTATCTCACTAAGTTACCCACACTACAGTCTTGAACTGGGCTCAAGCAATCTTCCTGCCTTGGCCTCTCAAAATGCTGGGATTGTAGACGTGAACTATTGCTCTTGGCAAGATCTTTTAACGTTTTAAAGCAATTAAATTTCCTTTATATATGAAAGGAATTTCCTTTTTATTCATAGATGAGATCAGTATCATAATTGTAATTTTGTGATGTGATTTAGAAAACATAATTTCAGATTTACAAAAAAATTGTAGGTTTTTTAATCTTTTTTTAACCCAAATTTACCTGTTGAGACTATTTTTGTCCATTTGTTTTACCATTTTTTTATTCTTTCTCACACACATGTGCTGTGTGTGTACAGATACATTTTTTCTCCAAACCATTTTAGACCAATTACGTGCATCATAACATCAAGAAGAGGAACATGCTCTTCCATAACCATGGTACAATTGACTACATAAATACAGTTTTTATCTAATCTACCATCTGTGTTTAGTTTGTCAATTGACGTAACAATGACTTTTATAGCATTCACCTTATTCTAGTGAAGGATTTGGTCTATAGTCAGCATTACATTTAGTTGTTATGTCTTTTAAACCTCCTTTAATCTGGAACATTTCCACAGTCTAAGAAATTTAGAGTAGAACCTCCATAGTTGACGACCTCCCTACACTGACCACCTCCTTAAGTTGACCTGATTTTCATAGACCACACATATACCCCATGTACATATCAGTACAGTAGGCCTAGGTCCTTATGTTGACCACCTCTTATGTTGGCTAATTTGTTACAGTCCCTTAGGTGGTCGATTGACAGAGCCCTTTAAGTTTTCAAATTATTTGCATAGAAATCTGTAAGGTAGATTCTTATAATTAATTTCTGGCTTCTCTTTATCAGTAGTTATTTCTCCCTGTCATTTCTTATTTTATATATTTGTACTTTTTTTCTTTGTTCTTTTTTGTTGTCTTGATTTGACCACCAACCACTTGACCTAGTGGCTTGTCTATTATATGAGGGCTGTGTGGAAATTTTCCAGCCATTGTTAATACTGTTTTTATATTACCTGGGCAAATACTTTCCAGATAACCCTTGTATTTTTCCAAAGAATTAGGCTTTTGATTTCTTAATGGTACCTACTGATTTTTTTGCCTCTGCCCTATTTTCATCCTTGTGATTTCTTTTCATTTTAAGTTAAAGATTTATTTTAATTCTTTGATTTTTATTACTATAAGTATTTAGGCTCTGAATTTTCATCTGCTCACTTTCAGTGTATTCCCATACATTCTCATATGTACTTGTGTTATTATAATTATTTTTCATAAATTCTGTAGTTTATTTTATATATCTTCTTTCACCCAAAATTGTATTCTTAAAATTTCAGAAAAGACTGTGTTGGTCCATTAAAACAAAATACCTAAAATGTGGTAATGTATAAAGAAAAAGAATTTATTTCTTATAGTTATGGAGGCTGACAAGTCCAAGGTCAATGGGCCATATCTGGTGAGAGCCTTCTTGGTGGTGGATACTCTCTGCAGAGTCCTGAGGCGGTACAGGGTGTCATATGGCAAAGGAGCCAAGCATGCTAGCTCAGCTCTTTCTTCCTCTTCTTATAAAGCCACTAGTCCTATTCACATAATTACCCATTAATCTATTCATGTACTAATCCATGAATGGACAAATCTATTAATCTATGTAGGAAGAACCCACATGACCCAATCACCTCTTAAAGACCCCACTTCTTAATGTTCCTACATTGGGAAGTAAATTTCAACATGAGTTTTGGAGGGGATAAACCTTCAAAACATAGCATTCTACCCCAACTGCCAAAATTCATGTCTTTCTCACATACAAATATATTCATTCCATCTGTATGGTCCCAAAGTTTTTCTTTCCTTTTTCTTATATTTTTGGAAACAGGGTCTCATTCTGTTGCCTGTGTTATAGTGCAGTGATGTCATCATAGATCACTGCAACCCCAAACTCCCAGGCTCTGGTAGTCCTCCTACCTCAGCATCCTGAATAGCTGGGACTACCAGCATGCGCCACCATGACCTGCTGGTTTTTTGTTCTTCTGTAGATAGAGGTCTCGCTATGTTCCCCAGACTAGTCTCAAACTCCTGATCTCTTGCCTTGGCTTTCCAGCTTGCTCCACCACTCCTAGCGATCCCAAAGTCTTAACTCATTCTCACATCAACTCAGAAGTCCAAAGTCCAGGGTCTCATTTGTAAGCCTATGAAATCAAAACAGATTATCAACTTCCAAGATGTATTGGTGGTACGTGCATAAGACAGACATTCCCATCTTAACGGGACAAGTAGGCAAAAAGAATGGACTAATAGGTTCCAAGCAAGTTCCAAACTGAGTAGGGCCCATGGCAAATCTTAAAGCTGGAGAATAATCTCTTTTGAGTACATGTTTTGCCTCCTGGACACACTGGGTAAGGGTAGGAGCTCAAGGCCTCGGCAGCCCTGCTCCTATAGCTCTGCTCAGTTGTATATGAGTTGGAGTTCAGTGCTCGAAGCGTTCCCAAGGGTATGTTGCGTGCTGCTGGTAACTACAGCATTAAGGTTTTGGTGGTGGTTATCACATTCTCACAGCTCGACTAGGCATTGCCAACCTCGTTTCAGTGTCAACCCCACATTTTGCCATTGGCTCTGCCCCTGGGACAAGTCTCTGTCTAGGTTTTTGAGGACATACATTGAAATCTAGGTGAAGGCTGCTACACCTCCATAGTTCATGCTTTCTGCAAGCCTGTGGAATTAGCATGACTTACCAAAATTTATGACTTGTAACTTCTAGAGCTATGGCATGAGCCTCACCTGGGTTTGGTTTACTGGACCTCAGCTGGGGTGGCTGTGGAACAGCTGGGGTGTAGGGAGCACAGTCCAGAGTTGTCCTGGGGCCACCCATGGAGAGTATACCTGTCCTGTCCCCTGAAACCATTCTGCCCTCCTCTGCCTCTGGGCCTGTAATTCTAGGGGCAACCTTGAGGATCTCTGAAATGCCTTTGAGATCTTCTGTTTTCTTGAGAAATAGCACCTGGCGCCTTTCTATCTGTGCTAATCTCTTTAAATGCTTGCAGGGCTATACCCTTACTGTTTACTTGACCAGGTCAAAAGTTTTCGTAATCTTTCTGCTCTGCTTCCCTTTTAGTTATAAATCCGGTCTTTAAATTTTTCATCTTTTCCTGAATCTCACTGTAAGTGGTCAAAAGTAACCAGGAAGCTCCTTCTATATCTTGATTAGAAATTTCTTCTGCCAAATACCCTTGTATCACTGTCAAGTTTGCCTTTCCTAAAAGCCCTCCAGGCATAGACACAGTTCAGCCAATTTCTCTGTCCATTCATAACGTGAACGGCCTTTACTTTATGTTCCAATTCTTTGTTCCTCAGTTCCACCCAAGACTGGTCATTACTGCCCACATTTCTAACCAGGATTTTGGCCATGACCATTTAAACCAGTCTCTAAGTGCTGAACTTTCTCAAGTTTTATAACTGAGCTCTGGCTCAATTGCTTACCACTCACAAGCCAGACTTGAGGGACAAAGGGTTGATGGAAGGGAAAGCAGGTTTATTACAGAGAGAACATCCTGGGGATATGGCAGACTCCCCTCACAAAGGCTATCTCCAAGATCTCAGGCTGACTCAGTGGTTTACAAAGGGGCTGGGGGTAGCTGGCTACGTGCAGGGCAGCATGCCTTGTTCTGGGTGAACATATTTTGTTCTGATGGTTATCTAAAGAGCCATCCACCAGACCCAGGAGAATTGCAGGTTAACTGAGGGTACCTACAATCTTGGTTCTATAGTTACTTGCTCAAGGCTAGTTCCTGGAATTCTTTTGCAAGCACACAATTAGGCACTGTAAAAGAGAGTTGTTAGTTTGCTTTAAGATGGACTGACTGTTACTGTTACAGCTTTCTTGTCATCTCAGACCTCACTGGAATCTAGGCTTTTTCTAGCCACTTTTCCAAATTCTTCTAGCCTCTGCCCATGACTCAGTTCCAAAGCCACTTCCCCATTTTCAGATATTCATTATCAACAACTCACTCCCATGATGACCTATTCTTTTTTTTTTAATTAAGTGATAGCTCTATACATTAATGCAAACAGGGGGTGCAGTGTAGTGTTTTCATATACATTTTGAAATACTTTCATCAAGCTGGTTCACATAAATTTAATGTAATTTGCATAGTCATTGTGTCAAAACATTTACATTCTATTTCTAGAAAAGTTCACTTGTACCCTTGTTAGACAGAAATATAGGTGATCTTTCCGGTTAACCTCCCACCACCCAGCCACCCTTCTTCCCTCCCCTTCCCCACCCCCTCCCCATATTCTTGGGCTAGAATTAAGTTGTTTCCTTCATTTGAGAAGTATATATTATTTTCATAGAAGGGCTATGTACATTGGATACTTTTTCTTCCATTCCTGTGATACTTTGCTAAGAAGAACATTTTCCAGTTCCATCCATGTAAACATGAAAGAGGT